AATTTTCTAAGTTCACTAATAAAACTGCATATATTCTAATAAAGCTTTTCTCAAAATGTCCCCAACAGTCCCCACAAATCGTTCAGAACACCTTCTACACCCATAAGTACCACCATCGTCTCCCCTTCACACAACTGGGGAGACAATTTTCTCAGTATTCAGAATACGGACCGAAGATCACGCCAGTAAAATATTTCCTTCCGTTCTTTGGCAAAATTCTTGATAAACTGCTCTTTTGTTCCTCTTCAGCAGCCTCTGAGTCCCACACGGCAGGTGTTTTACTTAAATGTGTGAATGCGGAAAGTCGATGCATTTCATGGAACTTGTCATTAGTATTCCGACATTTAGTAAGTTGTTATAATCCCGCTCTGTCTGTGAATGGTAAGCCCACCCATTTCTCACACACAGAGGGTAATTTAGAAGCACTGCAAGCAGACGACTGCAATTTCAACTAATCTCAGAAGAGCCTATTATTATCAAACCCTAAACCATTTCTACATAATTATCGTTATCACTGACATCACCCCATTTCCAACCACCTGCCACTACAAATAATTCCGCAGGTAAGTGTCACAGCCGTTGCCAGGCCGACACCACCTGTCAGGCCGCGTCCGCAGTTCCCCTGGCGTCGGGGGGGGTGGAGTGCCGCACCACAACCAAGCCCTTGCAGCTCAACGCCTGGTACAGGCGGCCAGACCTCCTGAAGACCCCCGGGGCCATCCACATCCTTGAGACAGGTTGTATGATGAAACCGAGGAGGCCTAGTGTGGTTGAATGTGCTGTGGTGCAGTGGTAGCATTCTCCTATTACAATCTTGCTGACCCGCGTTCAAATCCCGTACCGCCAGTGGATGGTAACCCCGGCCATTCCTTGCACAATATAAACAGACAGCTTGTCATACAAAGACTAACAATTGTAACAAATTGACGAAATTGGATTGTGGTTATCATTATTTTATAAGAATACAAAACTACTCATTTACCTGCAGCCTTATATCGTATAGACTTAGCATGCCTGAATACAAATTGTTGTCAAAGACTATGTATTGAAGTAGGTTCATAATTAGATGTTGCTGTAAGTTCAATAAACTTTTACCAAAAAGAGTAAAGTTGGTGCCATGCGCAAGTGCATAATAGACCTACATCGGTTCCTACGTTTTCCTTCCGTCTCTTAAATTCTTGCATAGATGTGTAAAAATCAGTGAGTGCAGAGGATGCTGCTGTCAGAAGGAATGAGAATGCTAATTGATGTTTTGTTCTTAATCTCAGCTAGCACAGCTTGGGAAGAACCAGAAGTCGATGGAATGTTCTATAAGTACTATGACAATGCATGGGCTTCGATTTGCGGTATTGGTTATGAAAGAGCTACAGCGAAGTCATCGGTGCAGTTCGACATTTTCAAGAGGAAGTCCAATGAAATCAAAAGTAAGGTTCTCAGACACTGTGTTTTGTTGTTTATTTTACATCTAATTTGGGTTTAAGTCTTTACTATCAAGACCAGTAGGGAAAAAGGCCCCATTATCCATACAGCATTTCTTAATAGATGCTCACATTGCAGATATTAGTGTAAAAGACTAATCCTTTTTAGCATGTATCCTAACCAGACGACAATGCTTTAGCCCTTCTAGGTAGGAACTGTATGTGGATTGGCCTGCGTAATGTGTACACAAGTGGTTACTATGAGCCTATGTGGGACAGCTCAACGACGGCCCCTCCGCTGGAACACCGCCATTTCAACGACTCAAACATCCCCTACGAACTGCTGACGAATATACAAATGTCGTGCTTTTACATGTTTATGAATTATGACACAAGGTATGAGTTTCTGGCGAAGCAGGAGCCCTTCCAGTGCACCGTTTTGTGCCAAGCCAACAAGCTGAGGCTCCGATGGCCGTAGGGAGTGGCCGGGGACGATGTGTGTCATGTGTAGATTTTGCTGTTTTTCACACACACACACACACACATTTCCTCAGGAAAACAAGCCACATGCCCATAGAGCTGAAGCTGGCGCTCTCATATCAGACTGGTAATTGGTCTTGAAGCAGTCCCACGGAGTATCCTCTGATTGGACACATGGTCCCTCCAGGTATACCCCGTGATTCTGCGAAGACACTTAGTACCAAAGGAGTCAAGACGGGCCTTCAGTGCAATATTCAGTGTCCAGAACTCACACCCATAGAGTAAGACCGGGATCACCAGTGCTCTGAAGAGCCTGATCTTAGTTCTAATCAAATACCAACAGCGCCAAATACTCCTATTGAGTGAACCCATAACGCCG